ACGAGTAGGAGCCATCTGTGTTATTGCAAATTTCTCTTTTGCGACAACGGTGGGTGTTACTGATACACTCGTCTATATTACTAAATTACGCACGCTCTGCAGGCTGTTTAACCACCTGTCTATCAAAATCTAGCTTTGAAAGAGTTAAAGAATAAACTGCAACTCGGAAAAGGTTTATTTCACCGAAAACCGTCGGTTTCATATTACATTTATCGTACACTGTAAGACTTGAGATAACCGCAACACCGCAATGTGAGTTGTTTTTCTATGTAATACCGCATGAAAAAGGTCAACACCACAACAATATGATTGGTTTGTGACACATGAAAAATGCGGCAAACTGATTGGTGCGAGCGACATACTACTCATTACGCTTACATTACAATGAATTATTGATTTATTTCTTTGAAATAATTCATTTATGGATAGGACTTTCTCCAATGAAAGAGCGGATCATTTTTCACACTTGCTGAAATTAAACTCGGTTTTCCATTCACAGAAGTAGGACCCGTCTGTGTTATTCCAAATTATCGCGATATAGATACACGGTGCTTGGAGAGCAAAAGAGAAGCTCTCGTCATGTTTAGGCAGATAGAAACAAACAAGGATTATGAATCTATTGTGTTCTATGTTGGGTAAACTTTAGATAGACGAATGTCATGGTTACCTGTACAGTTCTTGCCATCGCCATTAAACCCTTCTTTGCAACTGCAGTTGAAGGAACCTTCGATATTATTACAGTGAGCATGGACACTACAGTAGTGGGGATCGGTGGCACATTCGTTTATATCTGAAGAAACATATGCTTTCCGTTCAAAAGATATAATGACAAGTCATAAAAGCATATTTAAGAATTTGTCTGATCGTTTTTAACCTGTGACATGCCAAATCTTACAATATTGAAATATTACTGAAAGCGCCACGTCAAATAATGTTTATCATTTAATTGGCATAAACAACCAATTCAAAAGTAAACAAGCTGAAATCACATTAATTAACAGACACGTCAAGAAGGACACGGGTCTTCTAATGCAAAGGAGGACGCGAGACGTGCGTGACGTGATGCTAAGAATGATTGTAGAATGAAAATATAACTGTGCTTAAAAACATTGTAAATTTGACTAAACTCCAGACACAAATAGTGTAATACAACCAAATCTAAACCAACACAATTTGTCTTCCACCACTTATAAAATCGTTTGATGACAGGTGGTAGCATTCGAAACATGAAACGCGTGATAAAATGAACACTGCGATGGATGCAAAGCGTGATAAATGACACATTGGCAGCCGACTGATCACTCTACATTGCCATTCACAGCATTCTTATGAAAATCGTCGATGTTCTTGATACGCTCGTCAAGTTTAGGTAAAGATAAACAAACTGATCTCGATGCTTGGAACAGGTAGACACATTTCATTGTTACCTGTGCATTTTTTGCCATCGCCATTAAACCCAACTTTGCAGCTGCAGTTGAAAGAACCTTCGGTATTGTTGCACTTGGCATTAACGTCGCAATTGTGTGTATTGGTGGTACACTCGTCTACATCTGTAGGAACAAATTCTTTCCATTAATAATGAAATTAAAAAAGAAAATTTTATGAGCTTTTACAGGTATGTTCAGATTGGACCACCTACGATACTCAACAGGACTGAAAGCTCACTGAAAGTGCAC